CACTGCCCCCTCCCCCCGCCCCCCGACAGCCTTCATGCAAAATGAAGTCCGAGAAAGGAAACTCTAAGATCTCAACTAAATGAAGCCAAAGGAGGACCCCCAAGACCATGAGAAGACTTATCCTTTGAATACAGCCTCCATGAGAATGGTACATGGGTTACCTGAAATCTAGGACAGGATAACAAGGAGTCTATTAACTGCCCCAAAGCAATCCCCAGATATAATTGGCAGATGGAGTATGACCCCTCCAAGGACCAATAAAAGGGTCCACCTCACTATCTTCCCATACACCCACCTTTGGCCCTAAACCTCATTAAATGGAAACAAACCCTGGTTTCTGAGCCACTGACTGTCTTCATCAAGGATTCTTAGCTGGTCCCATAATCTGCTCTTGGCCATAAGAGATTTAAAATCTGGCACCCGATGGAAACATGCTGTTGTAGAAAGAAACACACAGGCCTGCCCTGGTCTGGGATCCATCTTCCAGATTCACGGCCCCTGTCCATGCATGAGGGTTTGTCTCTCTCACACAACCTGTGATCCGCCATGCCTGGTGCTAACATCTGCCTGGGCATTTGTGGGAAAGGCATGGGAGCTCAATTTATGGCCCTAGATGGCTTTTATTAACTGATATTCCAACTTCCAAAGTAACTAGTGAGCTACTTTCTTTCACCTGGAAGGTGAGTCTCTGAGCAATGCAGAACCAGAGACACAAATGGCTTGAATCAAAGAGTGCAATTTAGGCCCCTTGTTTCTTCTTGTCAGTTGTATCTCGGCCGATTTGTGGATAAAGTGTATGCACAGAAACACATAAACGAAACTCTAGGGAAATACACCAACATGTTAACAATTATTTCTGTCTGTTGAGATTAGAGGTGATTTGTTATCATCTCCTTTATATTTTCCACATTTTCTACAGAGAGTATTACTGTTATAATCATAAAAAGAAAAAAAAATGACATGAAGTTTTTGATTTTGAGTCTTAGTGGGGATGATAATAGCGGTAAATACTGTCCTACTGAGAGAACAACCCCCCAAAAGTTTTTAAAAGGACAAAACAAAAAGCCCCTAACATTTTAGCTTCAGGCTTCACAATATTATTGGAGCCACAGCATGTTATACACTAAACCAAATCCAAAGGCCTTTTTGTCATCAAGTATGTATGGAAGGCCCGCATGCTATGGGGCAGCTGTGAGCCTGGAAACCAAGAGGAGAGCCAAAGACCCTCAGGCCAGGGAAACAGACCCTCAGACCACACAGTCGTGGGAAACATCAATGCAACAACACAGCAGAGAAGGGGACATACGGGGCTCTGAGTGCCCATGATGGACCTGAGATAGGGAAGGGACAATGCAGGCCAGGGGGGAGGAGGAGGGTGACAGGTGGACAGGGGCTGGGTGGTGAAGGGTCAGTTGCAGGGTTTGGACCTAATCCTACAGGCAGGGGGAAGCCACTGGCAGGGAAATAATAAGACAAAATTTGTGTCTCAGAAGACTTTTCCAACAGCAGAGGTGAGGGATGCCAAGTGATAGATGGTAAAGGCCCCCAGTAGGAAGGGCATGAGATGGAGGGAAGGAGGGGAGAAGATTCAAGAAACAGCTAAGGGTCAGAGCCAACAAACCAGCTGTGAGAGGAGGGGGAGAAAGGAACCAGGGTGACCTGGACAAGATGGGAAAAGGGGAGAAGGAGCTGGTTCTATGTGTTCAGTGGAGGGGGTGGGGACAGGGCATAAAAATAAGCTCAGGGTTGGGGCAGCTGGGTGGCTCAGTCAGCTGAGCATCTGACTTCAGCTCAGGTCATGATCTTGTGGTTGGTGGGTTCGAATCCCATGTCGGGCTCTGTGCTGACAGCTTAGAGCCTGGAGTCTGCTTCAGATTCTGTGTCTCCCGCTCTCTCTGCCCCTCCCCCACTCACTCTATGTCCCTCACAAATGAATAAATGTTAAAAAAAAAATTAAAAATGAAACGACATAAGCTCAGGGTCTGACCGGTCCTGGACAAGCCCATGGGTGTTTTGTTTGTTTGGTGTGGTTCTTTTGGCACTGTTACAGCAGGTTCTATCCCTAATCTTTGTAGATGTACTATTCTAAAAAATACGTTTCCTGCAGTGGGGAGTTTGCACAATTGTTTGCACTCAGTTCTGTTTTGAACATGTTAAAAATGGAAGCCTGCCTGCAGTAGACACTTTTGCCCTGATGCAACGGTGGATGGGGGCCACTTACCCCTTTTAGTGTCGACAGCAGAGACGGCCTGAATCAGGAGAGGTGCATTGGACTCCGAGTACTCCACAAAGACCAGCAGCAGCTTCAGGGCTGTCTTCACCACCAGGCGGAACTGCCCAGAGAAGAGAAAACCAACATGTAGCTCTGGATGGTCATCAAACACCTGGAGGCAGGCTGGCACCCGGCACTTGCTCTGGCCGGGGAACTCTTCTCAGTGAGCACACGGAGGCCTTTGCTGGGTGCCTCAGAAACAGGAAGTAGAATTATGCTCACCTCACAGATCAGGAAACGGAGGCACTGATTATCCTGCCCGACCCAGAAATAGAACTGGAATTTGAACCCAGGGCCTCTGGCTCCGGAGCCCATAGCCTGTGGTCTCTCAACCAACAAGGTAGCATAGCACTTGCCAGGTCGGTTGCTTCATTTTATCCAGCCTAGAACAGTGCGAGGTACGGATGATCACACTGCTCATTTTTCTGGTGAGGAAGTGGACCCAGGAGGCTAAAGGACTTGCCCAAAGCCACACCACCCAGCTGAGGCAACTGGGAATCTGAACCAAGTCCCGTCCTGCTCGTCCCAGGGCACAGCATTAGTGAGGAGGCACCGTCAGCTCAGGGGCCTTCCCTGCGCAGGTCACAGGTCGCCCACCCAAACTCCCAAACCTCCCAGCTGAAGATCAGCTGGCCCTGGAGGCTACCTGGCAGCCTGGTGGGGGCAGGGGGTTCCAGGTCACCTCCCTCCCAACCCTCTGGGGGCTCCTGCTGCAACTCATCACCTATAGTCTCCCTACCCTGAGCCTCAATTCCCTCCCAGAACCTCCTCCTAAAGGAACTCACCCACCAACACTTTCTGGGAAATGGGGTCAAATCACGCATCTAAGAAACAAGGAGCTCACGTCAACATACCAGGGACACATGTAGATCTTACAAGGAGCTTGGAACATCGTGCACTCCAGTGAATACTGGAAATTACCCTTGTTAGGGTTGCCACTGGCCTCCATGTTGACCAATCTGATGGTTACTTCTCTGCTCATTTCAACCCCTAACAGCACATGACACAATCGCTCCGCTCCCTCCAAGGACCATTTCCTCTCACCCTGGTCAACCTCAGCCTCTTACCTGAGTGGCCACTCCTTTACTGGCTCCTTCTAGAGAATCCAACCTCTAGGTGGGGGGAGGCCTCAGAGTTCACTCCTGCATTCTTTCCTTCTCTTTCCATACACTCCCTCTAAGTGAGCCCTTCCAGTCTCTTGGCTTTAAATTCTGTCTACGACCTGATGCTAACTATTGCACTCCAGTCCTGACCAAATTCCTGGGCTCTGGCATCGCTCCTCACATGCTAACAAGTTCCTCAAATTCAGGTGGCCAAAAGAGAACCCTTGATCTCACGTGTGCTCATTCCATCCCGTCGACCATTCCAGCCTACTCCCTCCACTCCCCATGTAGCATGAGGCCCTGCCACCCGGTGAGTGGCCAGTGGGGGTCACCCTGTACTTCTCTCACCCCATCCCCACAGCAGATCCATCCACGAGGGCTGTCAGATCTTCCCTCAAGAACCGCCCTGAATCCATCCACCTCTCTGCTTCTCTGTCCATCCTGGACCACTGTAAGAGCCTCTTAAGTAATTCCAGACTGGTCCCCACCTCCCCTGATGTCCAAATGGACAAAATTTAGCTGGAGTGACCACCACACTCTCAACCCTCCCTTCCCTGCCCACCGAGCTCAGGACAGAATCCACTCCCACAGCCTTTACAGCCTGGCCCACCTGTGACTCTCTTTCCTGCCCAGTGTGCTCCCTTCATCTACCCTTTTGCAGTCATGTGATGTGTTTTTAACCTACTAAAGCTTGTTCATGACTCGAGGCCTTCTCACTGGCTATTTTCTGCCTGGAACCAGTTACCACAGGGCTGGCCTTTCCTTATCCTTCAGGTATGAAAAATTTCCCCTCATGGGAAATGCCTTCCTAACCCCCTTCACCCAAAGGGACTCCTTGGTGACTCTTACATCGGTCCGTTATATTCTTCCCATCCTTTATCACGACCAGAAATTGCTACATATGCACCTGACCTTCCTCTACTGCCCCCAGCCAGGACATAAGCTACCTGGCGGCAGAGGTGCTTTATGCAACACACCAGAAGTGTCATCTGTCCTGGAAAAGCTGACTGGTCAGGACTGCACGGTGAGGCTTGTTCTTCAAACGCAGTCCCTTCAAATGCAGTTCTTCAAAGTGAGTCACGTGGAGCACTCACCTTGGCCTGAGCTTCTATCCTCCACACCAGCCTAGTCTTCAGCGATACTGCCCACCCCCCATCCACCCACCGCAATTGTCTGGAGGGCAAGCAGTGCTTTCGGCTTCCATTCTCAACGTTACATCCTTACCACAATGAACACTGAATTCTTTAGAGGCCTTTGACCTCTTCAGAGGGTTTCTACTTTCATAACTTGAGTCCTGCATTCAGTCCCCTGCTCCCGGACTGAATTCCTGAGTATTTTTTTTCAACCACAAGGCTGGGGGTAGAAGGGGAAGGCAAGGCATAATGAACTGTGCTATCTTTGTATGTTTAGAGCTACAGACATTTCTTCAAGTAAATAAAATCTAGCAAGCCCAGGCGACTTCCTCAGTGGGCGGCCTATTATTAAGTAGATTAAGCCTTCTCAGTGCCTTCCTGGGTAAGATCTGGGCTGCTGCCCTCCTCACTCCCCACCCTGCAGGGGCCCTCTCGCATCCCTCTCATCAGTGTTCCTCCTGAGCATCTCTGTGGTCACAAGATCTTGGCCAACACAGTCCCAGGGACCCAGAACCCCTTAGCCATTTCCCTCATGAAGCTTATTTTAAGAAACCACTGTTTTCTAGCAAAGTCTTTTTTTTTTTTTTTTTTTATTGGTTTCAACATGTCTATTCACGTCTACTTCTCCTTTGCTGTAAAGGTTCTGTTTGGAGTTCTTTTGGCATTGTATTTGTGTTTAAAAAAAAAAAATATCCCAAACTCTTCTGATTCACGATTTTAGGCTTCTATGAAATTGGCTTCTATTGAGCCTAAGTGTGTATTTGTGTGTGTTTGGAAGGCTTACTCTGTGAAATTAATAACAAACATGTTCGATAGTTAAACTACTTTAGAAAAAAGAGCAGAATGTGAATTTATGGAAATGCATGGTACTAATTGCAAGCATGTCCTAACTAATCACCAAATACGTCCAGCAGGACTTCTCCCCAGAAATACCTTATTAGCATTACTGTAGAGACTTGAAAGTAATAAAAGCACATGACTTTAAACGGTTTCTACATCAACCCTTATTTATCCAGAAATCATTTAATTTGATGCCCACAAGTATCTGGAATGCAGTCAAAACCCTCCAAAGCTTTGGAACAGCCACAGTGGAGGCCACACACCCACCCCTCCAAGTCCAAACACGCTGCTCATCTCAAAGCTCTTAAAAATCTACTCCAGGTTCCACTGCACTTATCTTGGACACATCCTAATAGAAATGGCTATGGGGATTGCCAGCCCGTATCCACTGGGAAGGGACAAACCACAGGACGGTGACAGGTAAGGAGAGGCAGGCCCAGCATGGCGGCAAAGGCAAGGACCATGAATGAGGAAGGTGGGAACAGGTGACACAGGTGTCCGTGCACACACACCAGGGCATGGCTCAGCCACCGAAAGCCCCTCAAAGGGACAAGGCGGCATCCCTACAATCTGAACTGCTGGATTTTCAGCTCTGCCCCATGCTCCTTCATGTTCTAATGACACGTTCCAATGCAGTGACTCACAGGCTCACGCACTTGCCCATCTGTCTACGACCGAAGGAAAATCAGTAAGAATTGATTCTCATTCTGAAGGTACATCAATCACATGAGAAGGTGAAGCAACCAGTCATAAAACAGTTACATGAGTACAGGGCAAAAAGGAGTCCGTCTGAAAAGCAGCGGCTGTAAGACAAATGGGCAAGTTCCTCTCGCACCTGGAGGATCAGAGGGGCCACCCGTGAAGGCTACCAAGGAAGAAATTCAGAACACGGATGGCAGTGGAAGGGCTGACCCCATTTAAGGTCCCTCCTGCCCCAAGATGCTGTGCTGCTTCCTTTGACAATGTTGAGTGCTTTCCAGATGCCCACCACCTGTGAGGGAGTGAGAAAGTCATGGCCCTGCCTTCAAGGGCATGGTCATCTCACCGCTGAGAGAAGACTCAAAATACCTCCACACCACATGATTGAACATTATCTGCACTACAGGCTCTCAGAGCCAGGCTGCTGAGGACAGAGAGCACTTGCCAGAAGACAGCCGTTTACAGTGGGGAGGGAGAGTCGGGGGAACAGGGTCGGAGCTGATCCAGCCGCCTGTGGGCTTCCGTGCAACACAAGAGCTGTGTGTCAGCCTTTGGGATCGTACTCCCGCAAATAATCCCACTCCCTTAGGGACAGAGGGAGCACACCGGGGGTCCAGATTCAGCCTTTGAGCTACATGTTACCTACATTTTCTGTAATTACATGCTAGGGGATCCCAGTGCTCTATTTTAACACTGTCCATTATAATAAACTATGCTTCATATCGCTTTAAAACACGTAGCTAAATCATAGTCTTTAACAGGACTCTAGACAACCCCTGTGTTACGAGGGCAGGATGAGAACAGGCGGCCAGCTGTGAACTGTGCTCCTCATAAGTATTTAGCACACTTTGGGGGCGACAGGGCTGAGGTTTACTTTCAGCTGCAACCATCATCTTGCACTCTGTTCTTACTCAGCATAAAATAGAGGCCATGAACCTTCAGGGGAACAGAGCTGCCCCAGGGATGTAACATTTGTCAGGTCAAGCCTCTGTCTGGGGACTGAGCCTCCGGGTTCCATAAACGACTCGGGGATCCAATGTCACCTCCATGCCAGGAAGCTGGGCCTGGGGGAGGGGTGGCAGGATACTGTCGACATAGGACTTTCCCTTTTTTTAATTTTCTGGGCCAACCCACAGAGAGGGTGTGGAGTCAGCCAGTACAGAACCCGGGCAGCTGCGTTTTAGATAAAATATAACTACCAGATGTACAGAAAAGGCATAAAAGCCAGTTTCTCAATAATTTTGCACATTAGAGCAAACGAACTCCCTTCGTGTTTTATTGTACTT